TTGTAAAGCGTTTTGAAGCCCACTTAAGTTTTGGGAGGAGGGTTTTCAGAAAAAGTGTATAAACTATTATTGCTATAAAGGAACACAAATGGTGGTAGCTGAAACTTCAAAATGTTTTGTGCTTTGACTTTTTTACTTAAGTTGTCATGCTTGGAAAAACAGTAAAGGTGATGTCTATGACAAAATAGAATATTCCTTGGCCTTCCTTTTTCTGAAGGGTAGAATTAGTATTGCATATGAATGCATTGAATGGTGTGGGTATGTTCCGATGCGCAAAAGGACTAGTAGGAACTAATCAGTCTGTGTAAGAGAAGTGTGCTGTCTTCAATCTGATTTTTATTTTCTCTGAAATAGATGGCTTTGATACAGACTGGTCCTGGTGCATTTTTTCCCCTTTCTGCCTAAACTGTGGTGTAGATACTTTCTTAAGCTACCGTTGCTGTCTTCTTCTGACATGATTGTATGTATGATGGACAAAGGTGATCTGTTCATGCTAGTGAAGATAAGGTTTCTTGGCTGCACAGCACTTTGGTGTGAATCTAAAAGTCGTGATTATATGTGTGTATATATAGCAACACCATTAAGTTAACATTCTCATATTATATTTAACTTAACAGTGAGCCTTGCCAAAGCTGAAAAACAGGTCAGTTTGATCTAAAACCAGTACCTTCAAATCCATACAGTTAAATGAAAGTCAGTCTTGTAAGTGATACAATATTGATATGAGGAGTGAAATTGGCAAGACTCTATGTTCGAGACTGGAATCTCCTCATAATAGGAGTTCCAGTTTTTTATTCAAATTTCATTTTTTGCAGAGATGGAAAAAAACAAACAACCCAACCTCAACTAGACTTGATAAGCCGATGATTCATGAGGGCTTACCTACACCAGAGCATATGTGTTCTCTCCAGAGCAGAGCTTTCTCCACTTTGTTGAAGTGGACAGATGCAATTTTGGTCTGGAAATTAATACTAGTGTTTACCCAAGAGAATGTTATGTTTGACTATTTTGAAGTAAAAGTGGTGTGTAGAATATATCTTTCTGCCTGTGCTAAAGAATTTTTCTTTAGTGTATTCTGTGGTAGGGGCATTCTGTGTGACTTCCGTCAATTACAAAACTAACAAAGCCATGTTGACAGTAACTCTTAAGTCTCTTGTAAAACTAAAACTATTACTACTGAGAACTTAAGTGGGGGTAAGGAAGCTTACTGTTTTGTATGATTAAAAAGGTTCTGGTTGCTATTAGAATTTTTTTAAATAAATTCTCAGAAGTTACTTAAGCTACAGCCTGAAAAATAGTCTCTGGAAACCTTCCTGTTTAAGCTGCAGTTTGGTCGGACTTTATTTATGGAACTTAAAACCTGTGCTTAGCAGGGTATCATTATATTACCTTACAAAAGAAGTATAGCTTCATGAAGTCAGGGAAGTTGGTTTCCAAGACACAAGTAAAAACGTTATGGATTGTTTAGACTAATTAACATAAGACTTCAGTTATTCATTGTCAGCAGACAAAATACAACAGTTCCAGGAAAAAGCAACTTTATTGAAGATATCTAGAGTGTTCTTTGCATTGAATATATAGGAAAGCACAGATAGCTTGGTTTTCTGTATTTGAGCAGGATCTTATGCAAGTAACCTGGTATTACTACTGTGTGGCTTGGTTTTCAAGAGTCTTGGATTCCAGCAAATGCATCTAGATTGCCTGGTTTGTATGTCTTAAGGAAAACTGTTTTCTTGTTGCTAACTTCTGTTGCTGAAAACAAGTAAGCTATTTTTCATTCTTCTGAGAAGAGTGCAAGAGAACAACTACATCTGTCTTTAGAAAGTACCTCTATTGTGGGATGCATAGAACCAGCCAGACACCTGCTACAGCATGTAAGTCAACACTGAGCACACTTCCTCAGAGTAAATCTTGACGAAGATTACTTGTATGCTATAATAAAAAAGGTCTAACTTACTACAAATGCCTTTCTAAAACAACACTTAAGTACTTGCTTACAGTCTTGCTGCTGCTATGAATACTTGAGCTACCTGTGAAAATTTATCACTTGCTGAAATAAAATGTAGCAAACTAAAGTCCAAACACTTTAATGCAGCAGTATGTATCTGTTAGGAGTTATTTACAGACTTATTGCACTTGGACTATAGTTCAGAAATTATAAAAGACCAGATAGACTGATTCAGGTAAGGACACTAATAAATTCAGATGTGTAGTACTTGGAGATGAGTGTAACTAGCTGTAAAGATTGCGGTGATGACTTCATCTGGTTTGCAGTGATCTTGCATATGGTTCCAAGATGGGGACATCCAAAGTCCAGATGAACTGAATCGGCTGGTCTCTTGAAGCAGTCAAGTAATTAAGTGTTGCCTTGATTACATGCTTTTCTTCAATGTTCGCACATTGTGGACAGGCATTCTTGCTTACTACCACATTAAAAAGTATCCCTTAGCCCTTTTTATCCTGCCACTTTTGTTGCTCTAGGTGTTCAACTTGCATCTCTGCCTACAGCTCTTGAAGAACCTAGTAATTCAATTTCTACTTCAGATTCCAAGCCAGATGAAAAAAGCTTTGCAAAAGGGTGTGAGGTCATGGAAGGTGTTTGGAGCTCAAGTGGAGTTCTCTGAAAATGTTGGATGCTGTCAGAAAAAAACAGTTTAAAGAAGGCAAGAGGAATGGGAGTCCTGCTTGAGGACAAATGGAGGTCAGGAATCTCAACAAGCTGAAAGCAGTTAAGTGGTATGAATGATAGAGTATGGGAATAGGAGAGTTGGAGCCAGCCACGTCTGTTTTCTGCTTTTTGTGGAAGGAAAAGGAGAAGTAGAAAGAAAAAGGCAAGTAGGAAAAACTGAAGGTGCTGGTAGTGGGCTGCTGAGTAAGGTGCCAAGCTAACCATTGCTTGGAGTTCCTAGTGTGTCTTCTCAGCAATGGTAGTTGCCTAATGCAAGACTTAGAAGATTACTTCCTAGGTTGTTTTTCCTTCTGTGAAATACCATTTTTGCTTCACTAAAGAGAATACAACTAACTTTGAACAGGCTTTCAGACACAATACTAACCTACTAAAAGTTTGATTAGAATATGCTAATTTATGAGCTATTTACAATTAACTAACTTTGTTACTCTTAGTTTGCATCAAAGCTTAGGATGTTTTTCCTGACAAGTCAGGAAATATATTTTGCAGTGAGGATAACTTTTCCTACAGTTGTGTCAAGGAGTTGCAGATGAAGACCAAGATCCTTGCCACTAGTTGCTGCACGAGCTCAACAAAGACAGACCCAAAACTAACTCTTTTAACTGTGCTGGGCACTGTTACTCATGCTACTCTTTGGGGGATTCTGCTCAACACCAGGATTTTTCCTCTATTTAGGACAAACCTGGGCATCTCAGTGATATAGCTGTCTACTGAATTAAGCCTTTTTCTATAATAACAACAATGTGTACTCTTGCATTTTTGGAGCTGTCATTGGCCACTGTATCAAGCAGAATGAGATGGATAAATGGTTTTGAGAGTTGTGGAGAATCTGGAATATTTCTTGTCTTGAGATGACTTGAAAAGTGAGAATCTATGAAACTGTCACCATTATGACAAAGGTATTTATTCTGTCCGAGATAACTGAAAATATTTTGGCTTGGAGGAAGTCTTACTATAACCTGATGAAAATGATAAATTGCTCTACTTCCAAAATGAATACTTACTTCAAGCTGATCTCTTTTGATTCTTAATTTTTTTCTAAGACTTAAGTTTACCAAACTTGGCCAAAACATTCAATTGATTGGCATGTTCTACAGCCCTAAGATAATGTCTGTGACTGTAGGGAGGAGCTGTGTACTCATTCATATTCCACTGGACAGTTTGGAGCTTTGATTGTATTTGTTCAATACCAGGATGTTGAAAGATAGACTGCAAAAATAATTGTTTCCATCTATTTCCACTGCTCTGTGCACTCAGGCAAGCAGCATGACCTGATGCAGCTGCAGAGTGAATGTGGAAGAGAGGGACAGAAGCCCTCTTTTCTGCTTGTTGGCTGCACTGATCCTCATTGTTAATGAATTACTACTACAGGAAACTTTCCCTGCTGGAGATCCCCCTGTACAAGAAAAGAAACGTTGTCTGCTTGCTTCTCTAGCTCTTCTCAACAGTGATAGGTACTACAGCAGTAATACCCAGTTCCTTTCAGTTTGAGAACATTGTTTTTTGTCAAGAGGAACTTTTCTTAGTTCTTGACAAGTCATTTTTTTTCCAGTGTGTCTAGTCTCACTGATCTCTTGCAAGGGGTTTTAATACTTCATTGCAGGTCACCTAGAAGCAATGCAATTTGAAAGTATGACAACAAAAGATGATGAGTAGCAGTATTGCAACAATCTTCCCCAGCGATTGGTCATATCCTGCCTCCAAACC